AAAAGCTTGTCCGATCAACGACCGGTTCCCAAATATGGGATGAATCATGAATTTTTTAAGTTTAACTACCACCATGCACCTTTTCTGTCAGCGTTTATAAGTTTTATTTATTAATAAAAAAATATATAAAATAAATAATAAGAGTGATTGAGACCGTAAAATTAGAGTGCGGTAATACAAAATTACAAATCATGTCTTTCTTCTTGCATGATCTGGCGCTGGAATGTATAAAATTAGTACGAAAGGAGTAGTTGGAAACCCTACTTGCAAGGCAAGGCAAGATGGAGACCGACGTGAGCCATTGTCCACCGCTCCCTCGTTTGACTTCTAGCCTTGATAGGGAATGTAATTAAAACATTAACCAACCAATCGATTGGGATCGGATCATCTCATTTCAATTCATTGACGATGCTTTTCTTTTGCCAACGTGACGGAGTGGCCGTGGACAAACATGCCTTTCCACCCTAGAACAGTAGAACTAGGGTCCCACTAAAATAGTAATGTAATGGTCTAATAGCAATAGGAAAACCCCCAATTAACGACTGGACTGGTTCATATCCTTACAATGTTGACTTGTGTGAGCTCTGTGTTGAAACTTGATTCAATGCAACCTTGCCCACATATGGTCGTGTTGTCCATTAAATGAAACACCCTAAATTCAGGGAAATTGTTTATTATAAAATTTGTCGACTTTTTTGCATTTCTCTTAAATTCACCATAATTTTTCAAAACATTCAGAAACACCATGTCAATGAGTTTTTGTTTACTAAAACTCACCATTATTAGAGCACCTTAGTGTTTATTGACAGAATTTGTCCACATCAATATAAATGCAATTTTTATGATCAAGATGCCCTTGTATGGTGAGTCAGTCATATTAAATACATTTTTATGATTAAAATGCCCTTTAAGTGCCCAGCTGCCTTATATATAAGATTTTCTACTCATTGAGAGAGGTTTGAAAGTAGATTTTCTACTCTCATTGTGTTTTGCTTGAAAGTATTCCAATGAAGCTGAAAAATTGTTTTTAGTTCAAATAATAATAGGGATGTTTTCGAAATATTAAAAAAATGGATTGAATATAATAAAGGGTAAAATAGCAATCTACTTACACCATTAATCTTTTAACGTGAAATTACCAACATGGGGTTCCCTGGAAATTTTGAAAAGTTAAGGTGAATTTTTGATAAACTTTTTTTTTTTTTTTTTTTGGTTATTTGCACGTGTCCTGTTCTTAACCTTATGGTTCATCTCAAATAAAGGCGGGTGGGTTAGAAAATGAAAGAGTTGTTCCGTAATAAAGGATTTTGGCTTGATTAGTTTTTAAATTTGGGTTGAGGGTTTCATCTTCTCTAATCTGTATAGACCCCATAGAACAAAAGACAAATTAAATTCAAAATTCAACAAAGCGGTACATTTCAGTTTGTTTATAGTGGGTCCATCATCATGTGCTTTGAATGCTTCTCCATTCTTCACGTTTATTTGTGATTGGAGTCCTAACCATGGTTTTTCAGCAAACCGCTAACTCTAGTGATTAACCATTTGAACGGTTTTGACTGTTTTAATTATTTTGATTTATTTTTTACGTTTTTGTTAGAATGGGCCGATTATTTGACCCAAGAACCGGACCCTTAACCGGTTCATTCTCCAGATCGATTTTAAAAACCTTGGTCTTAACCCCAACCCCTAAGCATGTGTTGTGTTGATACCAAGCTGAGGCTGTGAAAATGGCTACTTACCAGTCTTGAGAAAACTTCAAACACGTTAAACGTGCAGAAGGGATTATTTCAAAACAAGAATAACCCAACCCAACCCATCCTTCCTTCCATCAGCATCAGGAGGGAATTGCTTTGCCTCTTTTCATTACCCTACGATACGAGTTTCCCAAAGTGACCATTTTAAGATTGTTCATGTGTTTGATACCTCATACTTGGTTGAGTACGAGATTCTCAATAGAAATCTCTTTTCGTTTGGTTGCTTTTGCTCTTGTCCCTGCCATATTTGGTGTTGGTGTTGGTGCCTAATTGAAGTTTTAAAAGGAGTACAAATACAAATACGTAGATTGCAAAATTTTGTACTTATTTATATTTGTAATTGTTTCAAACTAGACAACAAATCTGCTTTAATTTGGAACAGAAACAGGCTTCCATAATCAGACGGAATACAGATCAGCGGCGCCCTATGTATCCCTTTCCCACTTTACTTTTCTACTTTACACTTACCCAAACAGCCTCACTCCGCCCCTGTGAGTCTGTGACGAACCACCACCAGTTTTCCTTTCCACGTTTCAACTTTTGCACCCACTCTCTCTCTCTCTCTCTCTCATAGTACCCACTACCAACCTCTCACTGTTTGGCGTTTGCTTCAACTTCAAATTTTGGCGCCAACACTTGCCTCGGTCAACAAGAAACCCCCAAAAAAGCACTAGCAAGCAAACAGCGGGTTTTCCCAAAATTATTTTAATTTATTTTTGTATAATTTCATTGATTGAAAAAAAGAAATACAAAGGCATTACCAATTACTAAAATAAATAAATAAAGGAATTAAAAAAAAGAAAAGAATATCGCTTCCTGACTTGTCTCGCTTTTCTGATTCAAAAAAGTGATTCGGGGATCAACGTCGGACCAGTTTTCCACGTGTCACATCACCTTTCCACGTATCACGTCGTCCTTTCCTCTCTGTCTACAGCCATTAATGATCCATTATGCTATGCGTCGCCCTTTCCAGTTTCCAGTTTCCAGTTTCCAACTCTCTGACTCTCCACTCTCTCATCAGTCATCAGTCATCAGTCTGCCTCTTTACCAAACAAAAGGTTGGGAACTTGGAATGGTTGATCATCATCATTAATCAGTGGGATGGCCCCCACCTTTCCTGTTCTTCAAGCATCCCACGCTCCCACCTGCCGTCCGATTTGGCGGTAAAAGTTAGCGCTGTTCCCGCCAAAGATTGCACCATCAAAAGTCAAGATCAACGGCGGGGCCAACCCCCAGCTCAGCTTATAACTGTCCGAACTGTCGTTTTTTCAGCTCACTCTTTCTCCTTTTTTCGTCTCCTAACGGTCGTTACTCGTTAGGCAGGGGCAGGGCACTGATGAGTAGTATTTCGTTTCTGCCACGCGCGTTGGACCACTTTAATTGGTGTCCCCGACACGTGGCCTCCTCCTGACGCGACAGCCTGACCGTCGTGCGGCCTTACGGTCTGAACTCCCGAACCAGGGTTTTTGCTCGCCGCATTTATTCTCTCCAGTCTCCACAGACCGAATCAGTTTCTAACGTTGAACGCCATCTGTGTCCTCGGCGCGTCGGTGCCACGGATCGCGGCGGGACGATGCACGTGCTTTCTGCCCGCAGCACATGACCGCACAGACAAAAAATCCCATTAAAAAATAAAAACAAAAACCTTGTGGGGTCCACACGAAGCCCTCAGACCCCCCCCCACCCCAATTCCCCAATTACCATTTGCCATTTCCACCACAGCGCCTTCATCAGTTTCGGTCAAGAGTTGCGGGCGGGCGCTTGGAGAGGGCCCTGTTTTACGGATTTCCAGGACCACACTTGCTGATCCTATCCTAGACCGTCGGATCGGTCTGCCCTGACCTGCGAAGAGTATCCAACGGATGTGGAATCTCATCTGACAATACTCCAACACTTTTAATATAGGACATGATGCCAACACGTGTCGAGCATGAAATTGTTCAATACCCAGAAGGCAACATAATAAATCCAAGTGGGTGCATCCACGCCTTTATAGAATCCGCTCATGTCAAGCGCGTTGCTGTACCTGATGAAACAAGGACGCGTCGGGCCCGCATTAATTTCCACCTTCTTAAAGAGACGAAACTGCCCCCGGATGGAAACCGGCATCGGGAGTTGGGCTGCTGCTGATGGATTGATGAATGAATGATGATTGATTAATTTGCCGCTTTAAAAGGTGTTTAGTTATAACGGTAACGGTCCCTTTGGTAGACCATAGATCCCGTCTAGGAATGATGCATACACATACACCGATACAAGTCAGCTGGATTGAGGTGTGGTGGACCATCAATTGGGTCCCACCGGGAGCTTAATAATAGACATCTGATCTGGTGCAAGAAATATGCATGTTCACCACGTTTGCTATTATCAGGTTGGTTGGTAGTGGGAAACTGGGAATGGGACTACACCATTAGCCAACCTTGAATCACACTCAACTGCCACTTTCTTTTCGCAGTTTCCCTTTCAAACGGAATGTTAGTAAAACTATTGCACACGTGGCAAAGCATCTGGGCATGATTCATCTCACGCGGTAGTTAAAAAAGAATAGAAAAGTTCCAAATGGAAAAGGAGGATGCAACAGCCCGTGTAGAGCTAGTAGGTGAATGATGTTTCAATTTGATCCACCACCGGTCCACCGCCAGCATCTCCCCCCCCCTTACACGTCATCCTTTTTCACTAAAATTACCAATGCGCCCTTGTATTGAGTCGTCCAACCGTGAGGGGCAGGAGGGCACGGCTGGGAAAAAGGCATTTTATAAGCGAGTGTGGTGATCAAATTACAGTACAACGAGAAAAACCAACCGAAGCCGGATAGGAAATAAGGAAAGGACGGACAGGGGAAAAGACGACAGAGGCGTCGTGGAGAACATAATTCCGCTCGGCAGATCTCAGCTTATTCACGAAGCCATCGCCCGGGGCCGGGGGAGGGGTGGGGGTGGACCCACACCAACTGGTGACACGTGGATGGACCCCTTGCTTGGATCAAGGAATCCGTGACTACGTCAACAACTCGACTGTTCACGCCCTTTTTGTTGAGTCCAAAGCACGCAAACAACGAATCACTGCCCACGTGGCGTCCGAGTTGTAGGGATGAACCGCCGAGTCAAGGCATCGTGAGAGGTGAGACATGTGTCTTAGCTCTTGAGGGGTTGTTGACCCGGGTAACAGGGAGGGGTTAAGTATTAAGTCAGCGTGCCGGTTGATTCCGGGCATAGAATCGGGTCGACCCGCTTTGTGTATATAAATGGGAGGAGACCGGGAGATGAATATCGAGGCGTGCCTCGCGCTTCTAGTTCTACTGCCTTCTTAGAGAGAGAAAATTCTTTCCTGTTTGGAGAGGGAAAAAGCTGGGTCTGGGTGTAGGCGATTGTTTGAGGATTGAACTTCGAAGAACAGAGGAGTCTCTACTTGGTTGAAGAGCTTTTTTCTTTTGAGTCTTTTCGTTGGAGCTGCCGCTTTCGATTCCGTCTATGGTGAAGAGAGTTGATACAAAGAAGGGGAGCTTGACTTATCTATCATCTGTTCAGTTCCCAACTGGACAAGATTGCTGTTCAATTTTTCTCCGGTTGTGAAGTTCTTCGGTCGTTGAGGGAGCAAGTGTAAGGTCCGACTGAGGGGATTTCTTTTGCTTTTGGAGATTATTATTGGTTTGGTTAAAAAAGAGAGAAAGGGAAGGACTGAAATCGAGGATGGAGTGGCCTGCGTGTTTGGATGAATATGAGAAGCTTGTGAGACGGATGAACACTCCGAGGTCAGTATGTTTCTCTGAATGGAGATATCTATCTTCTGTGAATGGGGTTTTGCGGGGATTTTTTATTTTATTTTCTGTGTTGTTGTTTTCTCTGCGTTTTTGTTAGATTTCTTGGTGAAATTTGGTCTGTTTCAGACCTTGACTTGAAGAATTGTCCCCATATTCAAGGATTTACAGTTTCACGACACTGTGCTTCGGTTTTACATCAAATGGATCGGTTTTGGGAGGCTATGGTCTGATGTTTTCTCTTCGTGCCGGTGCAGTTTTTGGGCCGCTTTTCGATCTTTACAACTTCTCTTGTTTTCCTTTTTCATTTGTTTGTTTTTTTTCTAAGAACCCAAGGCGTTTGTCACTTGATGCGAGTTTTTATCTTCTCTGTCGATTGGTCAATCAATTGAATCTTTAAATTTGCTCAACATTAATCTATGTATTCCATTGTTGAACATCTCGAAGCATCTTTAAATTTTGTTCAACTAATTCGAGCATTCAACCACTTTTTGTTGGTTTCTCATCCGTTCACACCGCTTTCTGACGTTTTCCCGTTTTCCTCCGTTCATTCCAGAACTTTTTTTTTCTCTGGTCTTACTCGACTTTTCAAGCGACTTCTGTTCTGTTTTTTTTCTACGTTCACCATTAACGACAACCGAGCATTCCTGCGTCAATTTCTCTCCAAATTCCAACCTCTAATTTGCCTTCTTGACTTGTCTGCAGGGTCGTCATTGACAATGCTGTTTGTGCTAATGCGACTGTAGTGAAGGTATGCTTCTCCCAACCACTCCATCCCTTCCAGAAAATGAAGAAAATTAAAAAATAATAATAATAGAAATTCTTTTTGAGACAGAAATAATTCATGAGAGATTTCGAAAAAAGAATACCCAGAAACATATAAACCAAATCAGTCCCCTCTGTTTTTTTGTGTTTCAGGTTGACAGCGCAAGAAAACATGGAATCCTTTTGGAGGCCATTCAAGTTCTCACGGATCTGAACCTCTGTATTAAAAAGGCCTATATATCATCTGACGGCAGATGGTTCATGGACGGTAAGCAATATAATCTGCTTTCTTCGATCCTTCCATTGCTAAAGTGCACCGGACTCAGAGCTTAGTATAGCAGCTTTCCGTGATTGATTTAAACCCTTCGTTCCTTGCCCTGAACGTTCCCAAATCTCTTTGTCTTCACTTTTATCGACAGTTTTCCACGTGACCGATCAAAGCGGAAGCAAACTCACGGATGAGAGCGTTATCAGCTATATTGAACAGGTAATAAAATCCGGCGAACCAGAATCTTTCCAAAATAATTAAAGAAAAGAAGGAAGGGTATCTCTAATCCATAAATTTCTGTTGTTGGTTTCTTTTTCCCTGTTTAATTCGTTCCAACATAACTGCCATGAATGACTAATCCCTCTTGGTCTCTTACAGTCTCTTGGTACCTGTAACTCTACTACAACTAATGGTTTCAAAGACCTAACAGCCTTAGAATTAACGGGCACCGATCGGCTAGGCCTCCTCTCGGAGGTGTTTGCAGTGCTCGCTGACCTACAATGCAATGTCATGGAAGCGAAGGTGTGGACGCACAATGGTCGGATTGCGTCCCTAATCTATGTCAAGGATTGTCTCTCAGGATTCCCCATCGAAGACTCCCAGAAGATCAATAGAATCGAAGGGCGTCTTAGAAATGTGCTCAAGGGGGACAATGACATCCTGAGTGCTAAGACCACCGTTTCCATGGCCGTCACCCACACAGAACGCCGTCTCCACCAGATGATGTTTGCCGACCGTGACTACGAGCGGAGGTCGAGAACTGAAGCCACCACCGTGACACCATCCGTCACTGTACAAAATTGGGCAGAGAGGGGTTATTCTGTTGTTAATGTCCAGTGTAAAGATCGACCCAAGTTACTGTTTGACATTGTCTGCACATTGACGGACATGGAATACGTCGTCTTCCATGGGACGATCGATACAGCCGGAAATCAAGCAATTCAGGTTTATATTTCTGCCTACTCATGCTATATAATCTATGCATCTCTCGATTACTTACCATTACAAAATCTGAATTCTCTTCTTTTGTTTATATTCTTATAGGAATTCTATATAAGACATAGTGACGGGTCTCCAATTAGTTCAGAAGCTGAGAAGCAGCGTGTGATTCAATGCTTGCAAGCTGCCATTGAAAGAAGGACGTCCGAGGTATATTCGATTTTCTTTATTTCTTTCTGTGGATATCTGAAGCATTGCTTGATTTCATACTTCATTGCATCAAAATCTTAAAAGCCAGTGTGTGTGTGTGTGCAGGGGGTAAGGTTGGAACTACGGACGTCGGACCGGTGGGGGCTGTTATCGGATGTAACTCGAACATTCCGAGAGAATGGGTTGAACGTGACTAGGGCGGAGATATCGACTCTGGAGGACATGGCTGTGAATGTGTTCTATGTGACGGATACAGCCGGTGAAGCGGCGGACCCTAAGATAATAAAGGCGGTACGAGAAAGAATTGGGTCTGGCATTTTGAAAGTAAAGGAATCTCCTTCAAGAATGTATGAGAACAAAGGGACTAGGAATGAGGCGGCGCCGACGGTGGGCGGGGCTGGAGGGGCGGTTCTATTATCACTCGGGAGTCTAGTGAGGAGGAATCTCTACAATTTGGGACTCATAGGATCTTATTCTTAAGAAGACAACATGACCCAAAAGAGGAAGAAGAAGAAAAAGGGGGGATCCAGCCACCTGTAGAATATACCTTGCTTCAGCTTTGAGTCTTTGTACATAAAATATCAAAATACAGAAATGGAAAATAGAATACTAGAGAACTTATATATGGTGAATGACTGGTGAGGGTAGTTGTTATTACTTGATTGGTCTGGTTGGTTGAATGGATGATGATGGCACACGGCTGGATGATGAATTGATGATGATTCAAGGGGGAAGTTGAAATTGGGGTAAAAAAGAAAGCTTCTCAGCCTTTTCTTTGGTGGGGTGTTATTTTCCAAATTCCAAATTGTAATAGGGTGGGTGATCCTGAGGGTTGTTGGCAAGAGCTGTTAGGTTTGACTCTTGACGAAAATTTTATTTATAGTGACACACATCGTACATAACGACTTTGATTGAATCATGTTCTCTCACTGTGTCCTTGAATTCTTTCTTCTTTTTTATCTTTTCTTACAGTATTTAAAAAATTTAGGGGGACCATGGCTGCCACATGCCAATAGCTATAGGCCATTATTGAGAAATCGGATTAAGTAGAGAATCTCATGGGGATTTAGGCCATTATTGAGAAATCGGATTAAGAAGAGAATCTCATGGGGATGTTTGTGTGTGATGGAGAAGGTGATGATGCCTTGTAATCTGATCACCAGACTCGTGTATTCACCATGCGTTCGGGAATCGATCAGCCCACAGGGCTCCAGAATACATGGTGGATTAATACCGTAATGGGGTGAGTGTCTTGAGACTGAGACACTCTCCTCCTCTGTGATTGCCCTGTCTATTCAGAATTCAGTTCCCCAGGCAAAAACCGTTCGTCTGTTTGGCGTTACTTCATTCATCCATTCACAAACTGAATATTTAAGGAACAAGTTACAAAAGCCAACGAGGCCCAACGCACGCGGAGAGAAACGGCCAGAGGCCATCACGTCCTCCGCTGGTTCCAAAAGGAGACACAGCTAGCGACGCCCTTAATGTATGTGTTTGGTTTCGTGTACGTTCTTTCATTTAAGTTTGTATTTTTTGTTTGCAAAATTAAGAAAGGTAATAATTAAGACAATTAGGCGCTATTAGGCATCACATCAGCGTGCATAAAAACTGAAATCCACTTTTGCTGTTCTCAATTTGTACCGAAGAACGAGAGGGGAACTGTTAAAGTGGTGCCTATGTGGTAGCGGAATTTTCATATCCACCCTACAATGTCCCACAGCACATCCCCTTGTGTATTGGGAATATCTTCCGAGGATAGTATCAGAACCGATGGGGTGGAGATGTGAACTCATAAACGCCCATGGAACCAAACACCCTATATGTTTAGTACCGTGGGTGTTTATTGAATAAACGTAAGGGTGGCAATTTTCCCCATCCCCAACAAGTACTCGGGCTCCCCAACTCAACGGGGTCAAGTATGGGGAGGTATTTTGGAGGGGTAAGGGTCGGGGATGGAACTATCCTTGAATCCTCAACCAGGTTTGGGGATGGGGATGGGGAATGCAATCCTTGCCCCAACCCATCCCCAATTAATAAATATATAATTGTATATAATATAATATTATATAGTATTTATATTATAATATTATAATATTATATTATTATTCATTTATTTAATTATTTTAAAGATTAAAACTTAAAAAAAAAAACACTCGACACTTAGAGGTTAGAGTCTTCAACAAACACAGACAGAGAACTCTGAACCGTGAACCCTAGTTAGTCTTCGCCGCCGATTGTCGTTGCTATCGCTTGTCGCCACTCGCCTGTCAAACATCGGACGTCTATCGTCACTGACTACCGGTCTACCACTCAAGTCTCGACAGAGGATAGAGATACTTAGAAGAAAGAACTGAAACTTAGTCTCAGTCTCTCAAACTACTAGTCTATCGTCACCAACAACGGTCGCTTGTCGGACTCTCTCGTCGCCGGCCTCAACTTGCAATGGTCCTCTCTCTCTTTCTCTATCTTAGTCTCAGTCTTTCTCTTTCTCTTAGTCTCTCTTCTTGTGGATTCGGGTCTTCGACGGGGAATTAATCCCCATCGGGGTCAATGATGTAGAGGGATTTCTTTCCCCAATAGGGATCGGGGACGAGGATGGGGGGTGATTTGGGGGTTGGGGTCGGGGATGGAAAATGTAATCCTCGCCCTGAACCCGCCCCGTTGCCATTCCTATATAAACATTACTTTAAACGCTTTTTGTTATTATTGTTTGGTTGGGATTTTTCAATAAACACTTGATATATCAAGTTATTTTTCAACTCAGCAATAGTCATATAGGTGATTAGTGTGGCACTTTTATTTATTTATAAATATATTTTTATAAATTTGTTATATTATTTATTTTTTATAAAAAATCATGTATATATGATGAAAATAATTAAATAATATTTGTATTTTTTGTTTTTACTTTATTTAAATTAATATGTTTTATTTTTTTAATAATTTATTAATTTTTAAAGAAAATAAATTGAATCAGATCAGATCTCCATATTACTGATAAGATTCAAATTCAAATCAAATCTTATCAATTTCAATCGAATCTTCGAATTGGATGGATCTGATAGAAACAATATCAAATTGAATTCAAATATATCCTTATTCAAATCCGATCCGATCCGATCCATTTACATCCATAATTTTAAGGCTAGAACTACAGTTAACCATTGAAGAGCCTCTTGGCTGGTATGAACCAAGTTAAATTGATATTAGCTCTGTCATCTTATGTGGTTCTCAATTAAAGTTTGAAGTTCTCGTCCATAACAGGTGTTTTATGTGGATACTTTTTAGGTTTCATATTATATTAGAAGTAATAGATAAGGGGAGACTTGCGGGAAAGATTAGGATCGACAGCGGTCTTACTGGCATCAATAACTGCGAGAACAGGAGATACATAGGCGGAAGTTTTCTCCTGATATGACCATGGCGCAATTTCTCCTCATACGAGAGGTTAGGGTTTCTGTGAAATAGAGATAACTCTTCTCCTGAGTCTTTTAGGTCTGCGATGCATTGGATCAATCACCTCAGGCTGTCACATCAATTTCATGTTTCCGACACAATAATAAAAAATACAGTATGGGCAAAGAGTTTTAACCAATCAAAACCTATCCAAACGCTTTATGAATTCAATTGACCGTTACAAGTTTTTCGGTATCATATCTTTGTTATATCATAGTTGAACCTGATTTCAATAAATAAGTAAACTAAAGATTGTTTCAAGGCTCGATAAAAGCCCATACCCTAACTATGCAGATGTGGCAGCGTTTTTCTAAGAAACGCACATAAAACCAAACATGCGGTCGTGGGATTTTCCAAACATGCGTTTTTCCAACAAGTGTTTCCCTATTCCTGTTGCAGTGATGTGTGTCCACCTCATCAAATTCTTTCAACTTTTTTTCTTTTTTTCTTTCACTTTTGCGTGGGATTTTTACCATTTACCAACAAAAGATATTTGGGGGGAATGGATTCTGCACAAGTGCACAAATGACAGCAGAAAACTTTAGAGCTGAGGAAAAAAAACATGCACCGTTACCGATAATACATGTTGCCATGTTGGGGGGAGATGGTGACTTCCCTGATTTTCTATTTCTCAGTGCTTCATATACACAGAGCGCGCCTCACAGCCACATCCCATTCTGTATTGAGAATATTTTTCTATGAATAATAAATATAAGTATGAAATATGTTCCTATTGTGTGGTTAGAACATACTCTAAGATGTGGGAGGTGCGGAATAGATCCAGACTCATCTTGGAGCCTTGGTTGGGTTTTCTTTCGGTGGTGCATTGGGTAGGGCCATATAGGTTGGGAGGAGGAAGAAGGGACCTTTCTCCTCTCTATTTCTTGAATTTTGAATTTACACAGTACTGTTGGATTGAGACTGGATCTGCTCTTCACACCTGGCGCCTCACATGCACATCCTATGAAAATATCTCCCGTACTTATTAATTATTATTCACGGGAAATGTTCTCAATGTATGGTAGATGTACCTGTGAGGCACCCATTTGTGAGGAACAGATCCCATCACGGTTGGATTGACACTCACAATAGTACATTACTGACCCCAAGTCCAACAACACAAGCTTAGGGGTTTCAATGTAACGGTTTTGGGCTAGAGCCCATCTAAATCAAAATCAATTTAAATAGATTGGATGGACTAATAAAAATATATATTAAATTGGTCTGTCTAAACTTACTGGTTCAAAGTATTTATTGGATTGGATCGGATTGTGGCAATATCCAATTCATTGGTAGAGGATAAGAATACAAATACCAATGGACGAGGTTTGGGTTAGATTCAATCTAAATTAAAATTAATTTGAACAAATTAGACTAATCTAAAATGATCTTCATTAGATTGGATTGGACTTCATCCATATGGACTCATTTAGACCGTATTCTATTAAACCAAATCCAGTCCAATTGACATCCAACACCTTCAAGCCTCCTCTATGGCTCTGTCCCCAGTCCTCCCTCCTCCCCGAAATCGGATTCAGTACTGACACTGTTCTCACAGCTCTTTTAAGTCATACAATGAAAAATGAAAACATCTCCCATAAATAAAAAGGTACAAATATGGAGATATTCCCGTTATACGACCGAAAAGGCTGCGAAAACGATGTAAGCACAATATTGTGAGCACCAAATTCGCTCTCCTCCCCTTCCAAATCCAACCCAGCGGTGGAACTTCTAACTCAAGGGTTGGGCCGGGCCGGTTTAGAAGAAGAACGAAACGGGACGGGTTGGAATGCATGATTCACTGCACAGAAAAAGAGGATTAATAAAAAAAAAAAAAAAGGAAAAAGAAGACAAATGACCCGATGAGCAGGGAGAGAGAGAAAGAGACACATCATACTCACACCATATGGCGCGGGACCACTCCCAGGATTGGGAGAGAAATAAAAAAGGAGGAAGGATAAACATTGGAAGAGACGGACACAAGTGGAGCACTTGGCCGTACTACGTGTGTGTTTTGAGTCTTTTGTTGTGGATTTGGTATGTGTGTGTGAATCGGGATGCTGCTGCTGCTGCTGCTCCCGCCTGACTCCTGTGGCGTGGGCGGAGAGAGACTGAGAGTGAGAGGTGTTGGGTGGGAGACGGCTATACTTATTTTTCGTGGAAATAGATCGTTCGGCCCATTCTTTTGCCAACCGTGCCCCAAAATCTGCCGGCAAAAGCCGAAAAGCCCGGTTTCTGAGCGAGAGCTGCCACGCTGGTGGTTGCCACCTTGTTACGGTTCAGCACAGGCTTAGCCTTGCCTACGCTTGGCAGGCTTACGTTAGGGACATGCCCGTCATTTTCGCCTGTAAGATTTTTGGGAGAACTGATGTCATCTTCAGGCAGACCACCAGAAGCTTCACGTACTCTTTGAGGA